TGGTTTCATCTCCCAGTATCACTTAAAATGTTCTTGTTGTTACTGCCTATGTAGAACTTTGTTTTACAAAATTAATTCTTAGGAAATAAGAATGTAAGAAATTGCTTTTAACTGAGAGGTTGAATATTTATACATGGTGTCTTTCAAAACTATATAGACCTCTTAATCTTTTGCACATCACATTAAACTTAAGTGAGAAGTTCCTGGGATTTCATTGGATGGTTCTTTGACTAGGGGAAGGTAGTTATTTGGAGGAATAAAAATGAAGATTACATTGGTTTTTGCTCATCATACCATAAATCATTTTCATTTCACTTAATAAATATACAAAACTCTGTGCTTCTCTTTTAAAAACTTTCCAGATAAATGCATTGAACTTTTTGCTTATCTTTATAGCAACTTCTAAAAAAAAAAAAAAAAAAATCAAAGTGTTTACAAGCTCCACTGCACATACTTCCTTGGTTAAAAAGCTGATTTTTCTTAATGACAGACCAAAGCCTTGTGGTAACCACACCTTGCCCCTAAAGTCATTGATCTGGGTAATATGATGCTATGTGTTTGAAGATAAAGCACAAGCGTGAGGTGACCACCCCACCAATCTTCCCTTTGTTGACTAGGCGATGCTTAAGCAGAGCTTATAACTTTTTGTCAGATGCTTCCCATTTAGTTTAGAGCAGAACTATCACACATCAGCGTGAACAACTGCTTCAATGCTACTGTTGCTCTAAAGAAAGCCCATTAAAAACATTCAGGTTAGTAGGTGCAGACAGTGACCTGCAGCACTAACCCCTGTGTCATATCAGTAGCAGTCAAGGGTCACTGGAAGGAAAGGCTATGACCTGTGCACGTGCTTCATTAGGCAAATTGGGATCCAATTAGCCACAAGCTCCCCAGCAAATAAGAATTAGAGTACGGGAAACATTCAATTACTTAAGCTAGTTTTAAAAACAGTTTGAGACCAGATAAAGATATTTACTGCAATCCTATTTTCCTGCATTGTGGTGCAAACAGCTTATGTACATCAGAGCTTCACTCTGGCAGCTGTGCTAAAATGCTAACCAGCATCGTCTTCTATCATAACTTCAACCCAGTATTTTTTTCTTCATACAAATTGGCAAACAGTTGATAGTACAGAGCAGCTTCAAGGGTTGAACCTGGATGGGAGCTATATGTTTCAGAGGCTGGGCTTAGTTGAAGAAGCCCCCGAGAGATATGTGCAGAAATCATCCCTACTTAAGGGGGCAGGGTGAATGTCTCGACTGGGACTGACCAGTTCATCCCGAGTGAGGACTAATGAAAATAAATGATCTGACAAGGTCCAGGGGTTGAGATCAAGGCTGAAGGTACCCCCTGCCCCTCTCAATTTCCAGCTTTAGGAGATTAATGAGGGCAGAAACAGTCATTGCTCTGTATCATTTACCCCCTGAGGCCACTGAAACCTTATGGCTTCAGTGTGCGGCCCACCTGTTGGTCCATTAGGGACTCATGACAGCGAGCTAGAGGGCATGGCCTCTGAATTGGGTTTGGAGGTATTCTCTACTGATCACAGTTCAGGCGGTGGCAAATTGAGTTAAACATGCTTGACCAAAAAGTTTCTTGTAGCATTCTGACTGCAGTTCTAATGACAAAACAGACATAATTATATTAATTAGTGTTTCACCTTTGAAAAGAGAAACTTAATCATTAAAAGTTGTGATTAATTAACTAAAGATGGAAACTTATAAAGCAATGTAAATACGCTTTATACATAAAATATAAAGTAATCAAATAGGTAGCTTTTTAAACATTACATTTTGAATTTGTTATTGTTTTGCTAATCTTTTTAAACATATATATTTGTCTATACTAAAAAAAATTGCGGTATATATATATATATATATATATATATATATATATACCGCAATTTTTTCTATATATATATATATATATATATATATATATATATATATATATATATATATATATATATATATAGATATATTTTTGCTAATCAGCCTTGCTTTTCTTTATTTAGTCAGAGAGAATGCAACCTTGAGAAGATAGCATGACATGTTATATTAATAAACATTATTTATAATTATAAGATATCAAATATTTATGATAGTATAGAGAGTAATATCAGAGAGACCAAGTGAAGAATTATACTTTGAAAAGGAAAAATTAGCTTTTCCTGCATTTAGAATGTTTTGAAGAGAGAAGGCTGACCTCTTCTGGACATTTTCAATAAAAGCAAAGCCTTCTACACAAAATAAATTGCATAGCCACTTTTTGTTTGCTTTTTGTTTTTTAAGGTAGCCAAAATAAAAACAAACAAAAGATAATAATTAATAAATTTCCTATTGTGAAGTGTTTCAGATTTTTTTTTATGTTGATTTTAGATTTCGATGTTAATTTTATTTCAGCACTTTCTATTGTTTTACTGAACATTTATTGGTAAAAATGTAATTTAATATCTTATAAAATATTTACTAGGGGTTAATTTTTCTTAGTTAATGCGAAATCTTCCTAAAAAGTACATCTAATTTACCAAATTACCGTTAATTGCAAAAGTAATAAACATTCATAAATAATCATTAATATTTATAACAAGTTTTACCTAATTATTTATGCAGGTAATTGTGTTATTACATGAGATTTCTTTAAAAGTGATTTGTTTATAACAGAGATGTATGTTAAAGCATACCATCAGAACAATTCACACAATCAAATCAACCCTGAGATCTGAAATACAAAAAGATCAATGAAAATGAAAAGCAGAAACAGGCAATCCAAATATTTTCCTTAATGTTTTAGATTCAAGAACTTAGTTGTTTTTTAAAAATAATTTTTCAAGTCAATTCAAAGCGGCATTAAGGAAATGCGTTTTCCTGAGTTCTTTCATTCTGATGGAATACTGAATCCAACAGAAGCCTTGGAGTTGAGGTATCAGGTACTCTCATTTAGTTAAACAATCAGTAGTAATTACTGATTTATATATAATATACCAAACCATCAGCCTGTGTGTGGGCAGGGAGTTCCATGTTACTCTCAGCCATCCATTAACCTGTTAAAAGGTAACAATAAGGCTCCCATAAATAATCACTATAGACTTAGACTCAACTTTATTTATCCCTTGGGATTACTCCTTCAGGGAAATTCTGGTTCCAGTAGCTTATATAGAGTAAAAAGAGTTAAAGCAAGATGTCATTAAAGTTTGTTTTTTTTTTTTTTATACAGGAGACAAATAGAAATAGTGCATATAGTACAACAAAGCATAAAAAAAAGTTGTAATTTCCCTTAGATATAAAAATATCTGCACAATAGAGAGTTAAGGGAAGACTACACAGTAGTTAACTTGGATTATTGTACTTGTACTGCAGATATGTACTGACCTTATAAAATAAGTAAAACATTACACAGGCTATGGTAAATGGCATGTACTTATATAGCGCCTTTATTCAAGTCAGGAGACTTGACCAAAGTGCTTTACACTACATTCATTCACCCATTTACGCAAACACTCACACACTGAAGGCTACACAGTAGTTGGCATGTGTTATTGCACAGTGAGAGAGTAGAATATTGCACGAGTGACAATAGGAAATGCTTTGGTCCTTCATTTGGGGAGATGCAATCTCCCACTGATCAGGCTCCTCTGGGTGGTGAAGACAATGTGCAGAAGGTGGCTGGCATTGTTCATAATGTCTAGCAGTTCGTTAAGTGTCCTTGTCTCTACCACCCTCCCCAGAGGGTCATATATGCTTAATACAGTGTTTTTGTGATTTTATGTTCAATGCCCACCCAGGTAGGATGTCACATTAATGTTGGGATTTTATATTCAATTCTATTCCCAGCCAGCTGGGAATTTATATTTCTGATACTTTAAGATGTTTATTGCCTCCCCCCTGGTATGGGGTGGTAAAATATCTTATTTAATCAGATATTATTTGGGCTGTTATATATTGTTTATGAACACATGCCCTTCTAGCTGTGTGTTGGAACAATAAATGAAAGACTGATTCGAGCACTAATCATGGTCAAACAGTTAATTTTGCACATACATGGAATAAATTCACCACAACTTCTGTTTAAAATATAAGAGCTTATCAAAAATAATAGCTCCAAGTTAAACATATTTCACCGTAACACTCTTAACCAAAACTAGTAAAACTCAACTAAACTAAACTACTAATTACAAAGAGGAAGGGAAACCCAATTACAGTTTAAGATGGATTTACACAACCGTGTACGTTTTTTTTTAAATGTTAATGTATTTTTTAAGAAGAACCCACGTATTATCTTAAGCTTTTGATAACCTGTGAGAATGTAATGTGTCTGATCTAATATAATGGTTCTGAGTGGAATAATTTAAAACAGTAACTGCATTAACGGGTTAATGCCACTAGATGGAGATACTACATTCCAGATTGGTTTAAACTGTAAAACACAAACTCTGCCAGCCTAATTATGTGGAGATAATGAAGCCAAAAGTATTTTATTTATTTATTTATTTATTTATTTATTTATTTATTTATTTATTTATTTATTTATTTATTTATTTATTTGCCTACTTGTACGTGTTCATTAGCTTTGATGACATCCTATCATTTTACAAGGTTCAGTTTGTTGATGGATCCTGCTAAAGTTGAAATATGATGTAAACATCACAGGGAAAGATGAATATCAGGATCCGCCCTTTTTCATCCAAAATGTGTTTTGTAAGGATGAGGTCAGGACTCTGGAGGCAAGTCAAATTTCACATCATTCTTTATAGATATGCAGAAGTGAAGTAATTCAGTGTTTTGGCGTGATCCAAGTGTGCTTTGGCAATATGGTATGAAAAGGGGGTTAGATGATCTAAGCATCAGTGTATTTTTATTAATATTATCATTATTATAATGAAAAAAGTATATTTACTATCAAAGAGTAATTAGAGGATTTAATTCTACAGCTTTAGATTTCTTACTACATTTCCCATAGTGCTTTGCTGCGCAGCCGCTTCTTGTCACGGCTGTCGCCCCCAGCCTATGCGTGTGCATCCCCCGTGAATCGCTCCAGCATCCCTGCGCAGGCAGCAGGACACACAAAAAAAAATGATGTGGAGAAATAGAAATATATAATAAAAAATGTAATCGTGGGATAGGACAGGGTGCTCGTTTGTTTGCGATGACGGACGGAAATTATGGAAGAGAGGATTTTGTGCTGCGCCTCTTTAGAGGACGGACCGCGCTAAGAGAAATAATGCGGAATATTTCCTCACATAGGTGTTAACGCAAAAAAAATAAAAATACAAGATGAAGAAGCAGTTTAATCGAATGCGACAGCTCGCCAACCAAACGGTGGGAAGGTAAGCAAAACCTCTCAGTTCTCCATTGGCCAAGTGAAATTAAAACAGATCCCCTCCCTTTATGTCCCCGTTTTTATTAAATTCCAGGCAAATCTGATCTAATTAATGTATACATGTAATATATAACAGACTGCTAATTATAGGGAGCACAAGTAAATGCCAACACCTTGGTTCCTCTATGCGTAATATCCAATGGAACATGCTACCGCATAGGCAGCGTGCAGGCAGGCGCATTGCCCCAGCAGCTCCAACCTGCCCACGAAACACATTAAAAATAGACCATCGCTTGAACGCAGTCAGCCTCACCGAGGCGTCCCTGTTTTTAAAGCATCGTATCAGCTCTGAAAATCACATTGAGAGGATTATGCTGCGTTAAACGCTTCTGCCTGTCACCGAACCTGTCAATAGGTGACCATGATTCTGATGGATAGGGCTGAGGGCTGCAACGTGACGGAGAAAAATGGAGAAAAGGCGCAATGTTGTCTTAACGCAGCAAAATGGGCTGAGAAGAGGGAAACACCTCAGTGTGGATCAATCACCTGCTTTTCTAGACGTGAGCGGGATTTTGGTATTGCTCCTTTTGGAGAGCAATGTACCTTTTTAAGCTTAACACATCAATATTTGAATTATTTCCATATTAGAGCTTATAGGTTTCTCTAAAACTCCCTCCTGTGTTCAGGAATGGATGTGTTGTGACCTTTTAGACAAGTCTACTGGGCTTATCAGCTCCCTCCCCTTTCCTCTGCGCGCAAGGAGAGCAGCTTGTCAAGCAGCACTTGGCCAGAAGGTGTTTTCTGCTCAGCACAGGGGGATTAGAACCAGAGGGTTTGCTCATTATTACTACAAGGTTGTTTGAGTGAAAGGCTCTCTGAAGAGCAGAGAGCTACATCACAGTGCTTTGTTTATGCTGTGTATGTTAGTCAGCCTTTGGTGTGATTGGATTTTGTTTGCTGCAGTCTAAGGATTCCTGCACCATTCAGTGTGTGCATCTGATCCCAGACAAACTCAATTCTTCAGGGGCCGGTGCTGCAACTTTTAAATGTGTCCCTTGGCCTACACCTTTCCATCCAACTGCTCTAATAGCACGCTGTCAAGTGCTACAGAGCTCTGCTAATGAACTAACATTTGAGTCAGGTGTGTTCAGGCACTCTTCTAGATATATGTAGACATCCAGGTTTGAGGATTTCATGTGTGGGTTTGTTTTTTTGACAAAAAAACTGAGGTATAACACCCCTTGAACTTATTCGCCTTTCAACTGTAGTTTATTGGGACCTCTTATCTTGATGCAAGATCTGTGGAGTACACAACTGATCTTGCACATGCCTGCTGCATTTCTTGATTTCCAACATGCTCTTTCTTTCACTAACCTTCTCTGACAAAGTTGTGTCGTCAGCAAACAGCTTTATTTGTACTGACATGAAATCACATCCATTATACCAAATGCACAACATCTAAAGGCGATGTTTATACTCCTTTTTCCTTTTTTTGGAAGATTAAAACATGTATAGGCCTACTCAAGTGATCCCTCTCATTAAAATAATAGCTCTGTAAATAACATTAAGGTGACATATTAATGTTGAATTAAAGCACAGCAACATGGGGTGCTTTGTAATATTGATGGGAGTAATTTATTACAAAATCTTTTACGTCCAACTGCACCTGATGGATGATGAATTGAAGCTGAATTACAGTTATTGTTACTGTTTTTTTGTTTGTTTTTTACCATGAAGGGTAAAAGGCCATCAAAATGTCATCCACTAAGTATGTTTGCATGGTACGTTTTAAAGTTGGAGCAGTGTTTTTCAGCAAATGCATGCAGGGGTTCATGTGTCGTTGCACCCACATTCAGCAGGCTGTTTAAGTGTTGAATCAGTGGGTGGGAAAAATGTCCCTTTGCAGATTAATCAGGCATTTTAATGTAAGCTTTCACACTTCAAAAATCCGCATGATGCTGCATCTCTGCTGTATTTCTGCTCATTTTCCACAAGTTATTTTTCTACTTTGCTATAGTGCCTGTATGATTTACATTTTAGATTTTCTGTCAGGATTTTAAAACTATCAGCAACAGAGAATGAAAACACATCAGGACATCATAACAGCAAGGTAATGATTTTATATTCTGATTTAATGTTCTTGCTGACTCAGACTTGAACCGTCTCAGACTGTGGCACGACTTCTGTGCTGTTTTCTGCTTCTAATCATTTTAAACTTGAACAGTCTAAGTGATCATTGCCGTGCAGCTCTCATTGTCTTTTCATCCAGCTCAGGTTAAAAATATGTGTTTTCCAACATAAGATTCCAACATTTTTATTGATGGATTAGTTACGTATGTCTAATAATATTACTTCTATTCATGAGACAGCATGTAAAATATATGAATAATATCTTACAGACTTTACTGCTATCTGTTTCATATATTGCAGAAAGTAAAGGTCTCCATCTAGTGGAGTGGGTTGGTGCTCAGGTGTGCTGTATCAGCAGCACTCTGACTCTAAATGTGCTTGCTGCTTTTTCTGCACCCATGTTATTTGGTCATTAGTTCTACTTATTACCTCTGCAAAACAATTTTTTAGGGAAAAACCAGCTTTCATGGTATTGCCATGTAAGAGGGACTGGAACGTGTTTAAGTCTAAGAAAATTATTGCTTTCATTTCTATATATATATATTTTACTTTCAAAATTCCAATGGAAGACATTGACTTTATTATGTCCTCAAGCATACAGACTGAACAAGCGTTGTATTACACTGCTTCAGACAGCTCTTACCCTCCATTTATCTTGACCTATTTCACTGTTCCTATCTCAGAGTCCTATTTAGGTCTACGTAAGCCCCACACAGGAGGCCTTTTAAAGCAGTGAAAGCAGATATTTAGACAAACTATAGAAAAAGACATTAAGATTCTTCTTCCGACATTACAGTGGACTACAATTCTTTTTCTTTTGGGTGATTTTGTGTTTTCTCTTTTTCTATTTTTGGTTATTGTTCCAATAGATTACATATATTTCCTAAATGGGTTGAAAATTTTGAGCCAGAATTAGTTTTTGCTTTTCCAAAGTAGTAAGTCAACATACTACTTTATAGAATGTTGTAGAAATGTTTTTTACACAGAAAGATTTCAATCAAACTTTTTGGCCATTCTTTCACAAGTTTCTCTTTCCTGGCTGAAACAATTAATCAGATTAATTGATTATTGAAATAATTGTCAACTAATTCAGTAATCGATTAATTATTAACTGGAATATAGACTCTAAAACATGCCTTTAGCTGACAGAGCGACCTATTTAGAGCTAACTAATTATACCAATATTGTTAAAAATACATATTTAGCATTTAAGATTAAAACATGTTTTTTATCTGTCAATATGCTCTACCCAGAACACCTCAAATGGAAAATTTTAAGTTTAACCTGGTTTTAATCTGTAAAAAATCTTCTATAAGGAATCTTGCTAAACGATTATTAAACAATTAATTGAAAAAATAATCAACAGATTATTCATTTAGCAAGATAATTGTTGGTTTCAGTCCTAGTCATCTTTAAGATTTCCTTACATGCAAGCTTACGCCTGTTTCTTCAAAATGTAATAAAGGAACAGTCACATCATTTACTTTCATAAAAGCACAGAACAAATCTCCATATTCAAGGTTCTTTGTCTCTAAGTGCATTTGCAAATATTTACCTGGAATTTTATGTTAATGACCACTCTTTTAAGTGCTATTTCAGTCCAGGTCGGTAAAAGACTGACTTATAATGTAATATAAATATTATAATCTTAACTAACAAAGACAAGAAAAGTTTAATCTGATTTAATATCAGACAGTATGAGAAAAATGTCTGGTTTTTTATCAGTGAAATTTAATATGTGGTTTCAGCCCTACATGGTGACTTTGAAAATTTATGATAAGACAAAACTTAAACACAAAAATCATCTTTGGTTCTACTTTTAATGGCTTTAAATTAGTTAAATTACTCTGGCACCTGAAAAAATGTGAGCAATGTGAATATTTTCTTTAAAATCCAAATTAGTTGCTTATTTAGTTTGTTTTATTTTCAAGTCCTAGATTTACCTACAAGAGCAGGGTTTTTCTTCAAATTGTGTTTTCTTAATCATAAGTACCTACAGACAAAATAACTCTTATTTCTGGTGGTATCCAAAAGGTCTCCAAAATACTAGATCTTCACTCAATAGTAAAATATAAATTATGAGGTAATGAATAACATTTAAAATGAAAGAGGATCAATTATAAATCTATCATTATAGATTTCAAGGTTACTCTGTAAATATGAGATACCATTGACTATTATCAATTTTGCCATTTTCTATAGAGTTTATCCTTGTAGGATCACCTGTTTATCACCCATTTATGGTAAGCTGTCTGAATTTTCCGTATTGCAGACAGAGCATCTGCAGAGTGCAGCATGAGATGAACATTTTTTCCGGATAACTAGTACAAGAAGAGCCTAACTTTCAAGCAAATGCCCTAACTGTATTATAAATGTTTTATATACATGTTTTCTCAGAGCTTTAGATCATGTTACATATGATATAATATCAGATCTATGGAAAGGCCTTAAAAGTAATTTATCTTATACACGATTAATCTAAAATTTCGTTGCTTAGGGTGAAGTGTATGTTGGAGTTGCTGTGCTAGCATGATTCTGATATTCTTTTTAAGAACTTACTTTAATTTCCTCTGGTTGTGGATCAACTCTTTTTATCTCATGTTTTTTCTCCTCTGGTTTTAGAAGTTGTGCGACTGAAAGGATGTTTGCAGTTTCTTTTTATTTTTGAAATTTTTTTTTCTGATCTTTAACAATAGTAACCATAGTAAGTTTTTTTTTTTTTTTTTTTGCAGTCATTAAAGATTCAAAAATAACGAAAGTAATAATTTTACTACTTACACAAGCACCAATTGAATTCAAAAGGAGGTGCAGAGGATTCTGAGCAAGAGAAAGGAGAAAGAGAGGAGCAGGAAATTGAAGCTGTTGCTTCCATCATTC